AAACTAAAATGATATGGCCATTCCTCGAAACATTTCCAATTGAAAAATTATTTTTTTTACGCTATGACCGTTTACGATCTAACATACCACCGCCATAACTTTCGACCGCCTCCCCCCTCGGAAGCCAATGTTAATCGGCCAAGTCGCGGCGGAGAGAAAATCCATAACAAAATGATGTTTTCACAAACATTTTTGAACGGGTTTAAGTTCAGGGTCAAGGAGGGTCAGTTTGACTGACTTAATCCGTTTAATTTTTCTGTTGCACCATATTCGTTACTGACTTTTTTCTCAGAAATTTGAATTGCGCTGAACTTAATCCTTTATGAACTAATGACGGCATTGCGTAGGAAGTGCAGAGTCAACCTACTTGACGCCATTTTTTTTCATGTTGATCACTACAGTGGCTTTGAATTCCGCACTTCTCCATAAAAAATTAAAGTGAAAATCTACGTTTTTTCTATATATCCTGTGCTATAGCATTTCAAAGTAAATGTTATTGTTTCTGAGATTGTGTTGAACAATTGATTCGACATTGGTACATACTATTTTTGCGCGTGTTTAGAGATCTATCAGCCCTAATTGTAATACATTTAACGCTATTGTTATTTATGACAAAATAATTACACTAGAAAAAGTTTCTAGAAGGTACATTTCAAGTTAGCACAATCAATATATTGTTCAAATCTGTATGAGGAAGCACACTGATGACTTCTGAGATAAAATGGGACAAACATAGAATCTGTTTTAAATGCAAATTAGTCATTTGAAGAAATGTTAGGCGTATTCTTATTTTTAGCCGTCTCTCAATTTAAAATCAGTGAACTGATTCTGATTATTTCCTATTGTATTACACAATGTGTGTGCAAAATCGGAAATAAATATAATGTACCCTACAATATTCTGTGAAAATATGCTGCTCATATATTGTTTAGTAATGTTAAATGGTACATTGATAAACATTAAGTAATGATAGTTTATATATTTACCTCCCACAGAAATTGACAAGGAAAATTGAGTTTTTATTTTGTAATCAAAATACTCTCTCACTAATAAGTCTGAAATAAAAGACAGTAATCAACCTACAATTGGCAAATATATGCAGCCAAATATACAATGAATAATAATGATTGCATCACTAGATATATTTTATTAATTTTCTGGATGTTACATTATATCATTTCTTAGAATATGATCATTATAAAAGCATAATGAATTATGTGTTTCATTACATTCCATGCACTATCACATCCCATAAAATCCATTCAGATATTCTGACTTGAACAAATACTTTATCAGTTATGATAAAAATAGGAATACAAAATCATTACAATGTCTGGTTGCCATGAACCAATGATAACTGATTTCATGTAAGGGAAAATAGAAATACAATAAATATTTTCTTTATAGGCCTTCAAAAAACCATATTCATAAATAAATACCTGTTATACAGATATAAAAAATAGAGCATCTCCAACTTCAATATTGTATGTCCTTTTGATTTTTGTGATTAGCATTGGTTGAACAGTTTTACAAACTAGAACTGTTTTCAGTTTCAATATAGAAGTTAATCAATTTCTGAGAGAATGTCATATATTTAAATTGCTTAAAATCTTGACAAACATATACATTCTTAGTTTAATATACCAGCCAAAAATCACATCATAAAAATTTGAGATTTCTTGTATAAATAACTTGAAACGTTAAGTACTTCTAAAACATCTACATAATTACATCACAACCTGTCTTATCTTATTTAATGATAGATCAAGATAAACTTATGACAAAGTCACCATCATCACATTATATGAATTGTGATTAAAAGATGTAGATCAATCATATACATCTATCTGTATCTGACCCAGACAAATCTGCTAAATCATTTAAGATGTTGACAAACCTGTCTATTTCTTGCTAACAACATGACTGTTACATAAAAATCATTATCAGGATTTTTTAAATAATACATATTATTGTTTAAACAATACATATGTTGCCTGCTCATATTGCAGTTCTTACAAATAGTGTAAAAATCCACTTTTGAGCTCTATAATATGCTTACTACTAGGGCCATACTGAAGCTTTGATATACTGGCCAAAGGATTTGAACTCGAGAGAAGTTTTTTGAAAATATCACATAGCAATGGAGCAAAAATTGACATAATCTTAAAGTAAATTTAGGTACAACTGAAACACTTTCCAAAAAATGTGCTAATAAGGAATGTTAAAACATATACAAATGATGACTTTGTTGAACTGATTACTTAGGTATTCTGAAATATCTCTAGCTACCAGTTAGTATCAGTGTACATAATTTTGCCAGACATACAATCCTGCAGCACAAATATTTGAAGATAAAAAAGTATTTGTATGCAATCATTTTTTTGGGTTTGAACGCCTATTAGCTTTTGTATGAAATTCACAATTATAGTTGTAATCTATTTACAGGAAGCTTTATTGAAAAAAAAAGTTTATTGCTAGGTATTATTTCATTATGTTTCATGGAACTGGATGTTTCATAAGAAGCTCTATATGTAGCTGTTTTCAAGTCCCTATTTCAAATGAAGTCTTTTTGTATGGGAAATATCTTCTTCCAAAAAATCCTTCATTTTCTAAATGTTTCTAGGTGCCACTTGATACACTATATGTGCCTCCTTAATCCCATTTGACCAGCTTCTTATCTATTACAATATTTCTAACCTAATGTGGCAAAGCTTTATTGAAGTAAGGTATTCATAATCATATATTATCATCATTTAATTTTAACAAGGTTTGATGTAATATTGCATTAGAATGGAGGTCACAACTTAAAAAAAAACTACAAACATCCTAGCTACATTAAAGCCTCTGAAAAATCCTGAGGTATCTTGCGGAGCAACCTCCATGTTTTGCTGACAGCCATATCAAACCACAGATGTTGATGTTAAACTTTATTAACATTGAATATTACTTTGGGAAATGCCAAAGGGCCAGTGATATGGCCAAAACAGTACATCTGGTGTTATTTGGTGGTGACCAAAACATGTTACATTGTATGACTATACTGTTAATACTTATAACTGCTCAGTTTCTTGAAATGTTTACTGAAATATGGATGCAAGTTACTCACCCACATACATAATAATGGCCCATACCAAGACCATTCTCCTTCCCACAGCCCCATCAACATTCCAGAACCAAAAAGGTATAAATGCTGAATAAAATGTTTCATCCCCTAAAGCAGTGCTGAAGACGAACAAGTGGTACCAAAATTTATTTTCTATTACATACTCCTTATCCGAAGTGCTAGATTTTTCTTTCATTTTACTGACACCGAAAAATTCTTGAATGCTTGCTATGAGTTCTGATCCTTTCAAGTAATCCATTTCGACTGTGGAGCTTCTATCACATATTTGCAAATACTGAAGTTTGAGTAAAAGCGCACAAGTTAACTGTAGCTAATTGTAATCCATTTGAAATATAGAACTCCAGTAGTAAACTAAAGAACAACTGAACGTACAACTGAAATATCTGCAATATGATGTTTTTGAAGAGGGTTTAAAGTTAAAAAATCTGAAGTTGATGTTTATCGAACGTCAGAGTCAAGTTGAGAATTTGTTGTTCTATGAAGAAATACTAGTGATGGGAAGTGTGAGTCATTTTACGTGTTGATATATTGAACGTTAAGCCATGTCTACACGCAAAGACGCTTATTTTCATGGATTACGCATATCTAACGTCTTATTTATGGAATAATAATGATAATGTCGAATATCTATAATTCAACCAGAATCGTACTCGAGTGATTTCAATTAACACTGAACAAGAGATCCGGATGAAAAGGGATCCCATTGATTCGAGGACGTATAGCCGTTTCTTTGCCCTAAGAACCGACAAAGCGGCACGTTTAGGTGCCACGAATTTCGATTCATGAGGTAGGATAGCAGAATTGCAATCGTGACTTTTTGGAATATGATGATTCTGTCCTCTAATTCTTTACTCCGGACCGTATTCACGATTTAATAATATTTCTTATTCCATTTCTCTAATGAGGTCGCAAAACAATTTTCTTAAATCAGGTAATTTGCTTCATCTGGAACAACAGGGATAACCACCGCCATAAATATACAAGTGTAGTCTCGACTTATTCAAGCACCATCACAGAGCCCAAAAATCTATGACAAGATGTCAAATTTACAGGTTATGAATTTTGTATTTGTAAACAACGACCGGCTAAACTTTCAATTTGTGGATTTAATTGATAAAAATGCCGAATTGGAACCAAATACAGTCTCAATTGAGGCATCCAGCAAATCCAGTAGTATTTTTTGATGTATCGGTCGGAACAACAGTGAGTATATTACTTAGCTCAAATGATATTTTCTAGTTTGATTTCATTCATTCAATTTCCAGGAAATCGGAAGGATGATTTTCGAATTATTCGCTGATGTAGTACCAAAAACAAGCGAAAATTTCAGACAATTTTGCACTGGAGAATTCAGAAAGGATGGAGTACCTTTAGGG